CTCTTGTCCTTTGCTGGTTTTATTGCTGGGGAAATGAGGGAAGGTGTTTCTTAGTTTCTTAATTTTTTGTGTGTGCTATGTATATATGCCTTTGTACTCTACTAAAATCTGAAGGCTCTTTTCAGAATGTTTTTAATTGCATAAAACACACAAGATTAGGGCAGGGACAAAGGGAAAAAATGAGAACCAAGACATGTCATGTAGAGGTACAAATTCCCAACAATTAATGTAACTGTACTGTATCCCTAAAATGTACCAATAAACTCAATTAAAGCTGAAAAAAAAACACACAAGATTAGGGCAGGGACAAAGGGAAAAAATGAGAACCAAGACATGTCATGTAGAGGTACAAATTCCCAACAATTAATGTAACTGTACTGTATCCCTAAAATGTACCAATAAACTCAATTAAAGCTGAAAAAAAAACACACAAGATTAGGGCAGGGACAAAGGGAAAAAATGAGAACCAAGACATGTCATGTAGAGGTACAAATTCCCAACAATTAATGTAACTGTACTGTATCCCTAAAATGTACCAATAAACTCAATTAAAGCTGAAAAAAAAACACACAAGATTAGGGCAGGGACAAAGGGAAAAAATGAGAACCAAGACATGTCATGTAGAGGTACAAATTCCCAACAATTAATGTAACTGTACTGTATCCCTAAAATGTACCAATAAACTCAATTAAAGCTGAAAAAAAAACACACAAGATTAGGGCAGGGACAAAGGGAAAAAATGAGAACCAAGACATGTCATGTAGAGGTACAAATTCCCAACAATTAATGTAACTGTACTGTATCCCTAAAATGTACCAATAAACTCAATTAAAGCTGAAAAAAAAACACACAAGATTAGGGCAGGGACAAAGGGAAAAAATGAGAACCAAGACATGTCATGTAGAGGTACAAATTCCCAACAATTAATGTAACTGTACTGTATCCCTAAAATGTACCAATAAACTCAATTAAAGCTGAAAAAAAAACACACAAGATTAGGGCAGGGACAAAGGGAAAAAATGAGAACCAAGACATGTCATGTAGAGGTACAAATTCCCAACAATTAATGTAACTGTACTGTATCCCTAAAATGTACCAATAAACTCAATTAAAGCTGAAAAAAAAACACACAAGATTAGGGCAGGGACAAAGGGAAAAAATGAGAACCAAGACATGTCATGTAGAGGTACAAATTCCCAACAATTAATGTAACTGTACTGTATCCCTAAAATGTACCAATAAACTCAATTAAAGCTGAAAAAAAAACACACAAGATTAGGGCAGGGACAAAGGGAAAAAATGAGAACCAAGACATGTCATGTAGAGGTACAAATTCCCAACAATTAATGTAACTGTACTGTATCCCTAAAATGTACCAATAAACTCAATTAAAGCTGAAAAAAAAACACACAAGATTAAAAAATACACATATACCAAAACACAATTCTCAAATATTAAAAAAACACCATTTATTTATGCTCCTTTATGAAAACATTAAATGAGCTGTAATACAGCACTAATAACTACTGCCTTCAACAGAAAGGACAGTGACAGATCAAAACATTAAAGGTGCAGAGTATTTATTTGCATGACATTAATGTCTAACAGATACATCATGTTCCTTAATTTCCCCTACACAGGGAAACAATAAACAGCAGATTTAATCACTTAAGATTTCATTCTACTTGTTGAGGAATATTTAAAAACAAAATACAAAATGCTCACTCCTACTATTCATTTCATACACAAAATTCTTTCCTGTAATATCCAATAAAATTGTTCTCACCCAATATGACTGTATTATCCTCAAGTACGTTTATATTCAGTATAACCTTCAGCTCAGCAATAAACTGAGAAAGGAATATGGCTTCATGAATCAGGAGTCATGAAATCTAATTTCTGCCACATATTCACTATACAGTCCCAGGAAAATTAATATTGATCAATACACGAATAACTACAATAGCAAATACACAAAGAATTGTCAGATGAATACTTGTTTTGATTCTGTGCATTTCACTTAGGTTTACTAAATAACCAAAAATGCTCAATGATTATGAGAATGAAGCACAGCTAATGAGGCAAGTCATGCATACTGTACTCTGCAAGGTGAAAAGGCTACATGAAATGAAAGCCAGGCAGATACAACCAGACAGAATAAAGAATCACATAGCAAATATTCAATTGTAATTCAAAATTCTAATATTGCTGGCATTCCATCAAAAGGATTTCCAAAGACCATGTAATTGTATATTCTGTGCATGTGTTTTATATATCAAGTGAGCATTTTTCCTCCTTCCAGAAGATTTCAAGAATCTATCATTTGTCTATCTGCGAGTTCAGAGGATCAATTTGTCTACTCTTTTTTTTTTTTTCTCCTGGTACCAGGGACCGAACTGAGGATCAATTTACTATTCTACATTAGAGGGCTTTTAAGGCACTACAACTATTTGCCCACTAAAGATAATGTCAACCTGAAATCTGAGCAAGGTCTTCCTGTTCCTGTTATATTTCTTTAGGACAAATCAAAAGTGGCAACTGTGTGCAGACCCTTTTACAGCTCTACTTTGTCATCAGCACCACAGGACTGTATCATCCCACACATCCTCAGCAACCCTGGGTGCTATTTCTTTAAAATATGATATGCCCTATTAAGTAAAAATTATCTCCCATTATTGCCATTTACATCTGATTGGAAAGTAATTTTCCACATATTATGTTATCATTTGTCAAATTTCCTACCCATTTAATTAACTTTTCTCATACTGTATATCAGAATAAGGTACTTTTTAAAAATCAACTTTACCAGTTCTAAAGTATTTTAAGAATTCTATGTGTCATGCTTTTGAGTTCGGACTCTCTAAACCTAAGCAGATAATCTCTCCAGAGACCTAAGATGTTCCTATTTTCCTTATGTTCTTTGTTTTATTTCTATATGTCTACTCTAAAATTTAGGATTTGTGGGACAAGTTTCACTACTCTCCCCTTCAAATATTTACTCAGTTAATCCCAGCAGTGCTTCTAAAAAGATCTTTCCCTGATAGAGTGTGTGTGTGTGTGTGTGTGTGTGTGTGTGTGTGTGTGTGTATTTATGGGAAAGGGTATCATTCTAAAACTCTAAGTGTTACAAAAAAAGATTCACTTTAGAAACATTCTAGAAACAACATGGCTATATTTACACAGGTCCGTGGAACAAGGGATACATGGAAGTACAGTGTACTCTGTGCAGTTTTTCACTAAATTAGATTTACCTTGATTTACCCATCAACAAGTACTTACCTCCCTGTTTTTGCTGTCTCATTAAAAGAAAATGATTACAATTTTTTCTGAAATAATACATATAAATTTGAAAAGTTCATAGATTATTTACATGCTACCTGTTTTCACTTATAAGAAGTCCTACCAGAAGAATTCTATAAAACAAACAGGATACTTTTTAAAAGATTAATCTGTGACTTCCCTGAACAGAAACACTCCAACTTTTTTTTCAAGTAACTCAGGATTACAGTGAACAGCTGTGATTTTTCAACTGTTAAACTCAGATCAATTTTAGCCAAGATTATACATATGTGCATATATCTCTACCCAGACACAGACTCTAGTACATACACATACTATTTTCTATAACAAAATAATACCTACATCCATGAGGTGTCAGTAGCTCTTCATACATTGGTACCAAGGGCTTAATTCATACAAATGCTGTTTTGCCAAATCTCATATGTTCTCAGCTCCAAATTTACCCAAGTGATTTCTTCCATTTTATTTTCACTGACGTCCTGCACTACCAGGCCATTTCAAGGGCACAGCAGGTCAGAATCCACATGCATCATCCTACCGCCTGGTCCAACCCTCAAGTCAAGAAACTATACCACTGGTTCAAGCCAGTCTCCTTAACCAAACCTCTTAGCTCCTAAATTCCTCTTTCCTATGTTTTTTGTGGGGAGAGCCCACAATGAGGAAAATTAGAAACATATACACAGATTTTATGAGACTGGGACTTGGAAAACAGTTCAATGTGGACATGGAAAGTAAAGTAAATTCTTGGATTGGGGGCGGTACCTTCTTGCAGAATTAAGAAACACTGCCTCCCATCCCAGTGTCTCCTGGCAGGGTTAGTGGGGCCCCAAAGCACTCACAGCTTTGAACGTGCTGTTGTAATTCAGGGCTCGTCTTACTTCTCCTACTAACCTGCAGGCTCACAGAAACTAAGACTTATGCCAGAGTCACTCTGGTATCCCCACAGCACTTCAGGGGCACGATGCCTTCTTTGTAGGACTGTATACAACATTCGCTGAGTACACAAGAAAAAAAACAATCTACAAAGATTAAAATTCTAAACTTTTACTTTACTTAGTAAAATGCTTTAAATTTTTTTTCATGGATACTGTTACCAAAAGTGTAATTTGTAAAGCCTGTGGAAGAAGAAGTAATCATCATTATAAACCTCTTAGTGACTTATCTCAAAAGACACGCATATTTAAATCAGTTTAACAGAAGTATAAGGTACAGACTGACATGCATATGCAACTCCACACTTGACTTCTGCAACAAATACAGGTGCTAAATGCCATTTAACATTTATGAACCCATTTTATACTGACAGCACTCTGGCTGTATCAAGTACATTACTGGCAGGTGTGAGCTGCTAAATCAGACTTCAGGCAGCACACAGCGGCGATTCTAAGTGTGAGGTGACTGCCTGTGAACATCTGCCCAACCCTTCCAGCAGGAACTTGCCAATTCCACTTGGAGATGAATGAGCTCTGACTCCTGATCTGCTGTCTGCCCAAAGCCCACAACGCTGCACTGTGAAAGGCATGCCTACCCAAGTACTTCATTCCCAGAAATCTCCCTCCAGGCTGGGGATTTAGCTCAGTGGTTCTGCTGTTTGCCTTGCAAGTGCAAGAACCGAAGTTTGATCCCGGGTACCAAAAAAAAGAAAAAGAAAAAGAAATAAAAACCAAAAATCTCTCTTCATTAACACACTATTCACAACAAATGTATTCCGCAGGAGAGAATTAAAGGCTTCCAAGCAGGAGGGAGTACCTAGAAATTTAATGTTAAAAAAGCTTATTAAAAATCATTATAAAATATCGCAGAAAATCAGAGCCATTAACTTCTCAGGTCTAAGACTTGTATGCACATATGGCTATTACAAAGAGGATATGGCTGTGCCATAATGGCCCACACATATCCTCCCCAAAGCTAATCATGGCATTAAGTCCTGATGCAACCAAAGTTGCCGCTTCCTCCATATGACCTTGAATATTATAGAATAGAACCGAAGCAAAGCCGTACCTGCACATAAAATTTAGACTTTGAAGAAGACTGGGAAATACTGGGAACATTTGGATATCTGGAAAAAGAATTCAATCAAAATATATTCTCAGAAAAAAAAATGCACTATAGGTTTCAATTAACGAATATGAAAATTACTCTATAGAAACACTGGAGAGAAAACTTACAAATCTGGGTAAAGCAACATGGAGATATATCTAGTGGTAAAATAAAATTAAAAACTCTCAACCACATACTTGTTGAGTAGGCATATTAGCACTTACATACAATTGGCTGGCTGTGTCGGTGGATTCTGTGTCCAGTCTCAACCAATGAGACTGAAAATATGTGGGAAAAAAGTTGAATCTGACTGAACAGGTGTGGACTTTTCCTTTGTCCCTTTTCCCACAATACAATATAGTAACTGCCTGCACAGCTTTTACAGTGTATGAGATAAAATATACAGGAGGATGTGCATAGCTTACACACAAATACTCTATATGCAAATATTACAAAATGCTTTAAGGAACTTGAGCATTTGTGGATTTGGGTATCTGCAGGGGTCTAAGAACCAAACTCCTGCCAAGACTGTAAGTTCTAGGACTACTAAGCCCCAGATTTTTTTTACCGATGTTATATTTAACCTTCAAATATCCTACACAGCCAGTGTTACTCTCCCAGTTTAAGGTGAGAAAACAGACCCAGAAAAATTAAGTAACATCCTGTTGGCCATAGACATTGTAGAATTCAATCCCAAACTCACAACTCCAAAGTCTTGTTTCTTTTCTTTCAACTCCACCACACTTCTAGCGATGGAAGCCTAGATATAAAATGTATCAATGGGTTAAATACTATACCTGCATCAGTGCTATGGATTTTAAGTATCAATAAAGCCTGTAATAGTATCTTAAAGGTACAATCATCTCATTTGTATCTTTTATACAACATCTTTTTCTGCCAACTTTATGGATCTCTACAAAGACTTTAGTAAAAAAAAAAAATGTATTAAAATGCACTGTGCAATTTGATGTTTTCAGGGCCCAGGACAATGTTCCACACAAAAGGACACCTGGTATATATACACTGATGGGAATTATATCAAGGACAAAGAAAGTTCATAAATCCTCTTTCAAACCACAACCACAAATCCAAACAAAACTGTCACAAACAAGCCTGTCTGTACTCTAGACACCAGCCAAGCCTTCCACAAACTATTTCTTCATGGAAAAGATTGAACTTTAGGTAATTGCAGCACAGCCAAAGCGCATGCCATTCTTCTCCAAGGCTGTTTTTGTCCGTGGCTCTAGCTCAGACAATGCCATAGTTTAACCAAGAGAGGCAGGTGTGAAACCACCAGGTCTGCCAGATCTGGAGTGCAGTCAGCTACATTGGCAATTTTATCAGCAAGAGAACTTGGAAGGTCAGAGGCTCTGGCAGCCTGAAGTTGAGCTTCTGTTTGGGGCAAGCAAAACTCCAGCAGGCTGGGCAGGAATTGAACTGATAGCTCTGGAAAGTGAGACAAGCACACATGAAGCATCTGGCAAATGTGCACACCTTACCTGGCTGACCAAGCATTAGAGTGGGTTTGAGTCACCAGTTCATCCCTTGCCAACATAGCTTGCATGGACACATGCAAAGAAGATACAAGAAGACAGGTGAGTGACTATCAAAGCCAGCGCAGATATCAGAACTGCCTGTAACTTGGAAGTGAGCAAGACCATACTCTCATCATCAGTGATGACTGAAAGCTCTGAGTCCAATCAACCTTTGACCCACCTCTAGGTAAACACAAAATTTGTAAGCCTGATATTTCAGCAGGCTAGGCTTTAAGTACAAAAGAAGACAAAAAAAGACAAACTTAAGCAGAGACATCAGTTGCCACACAATGTGAAAGCCACACCCTTCACAGTTTGAGTCAGCACAAGTTACTAAACAAGGGAAACAACAGAAAAGACAGGGATCACCTAAGGAGAAGTTGCTACAATCCATTCTTTGAAATGCTGAGTATTGAACCCTTGGAAATATGAAGAGAAACAAAGTATAACTCAGGCTCACTGGAGAAAAGTAGACAATAGAAATTGTCTCTGGCTGTTACACTGTAGATTAAAATTTCAAAGTAGCTATTATATGAATAGGTACCATCAAAATACTAAAGGAAAGCTTAAAGAATTACTAAAGTATTATTGGCATAATAAAGACTTTTTCAAAAAAGAGATTGAAATCATAAAAAAAAGAAAATCAAACGAATTCTGAAGCTAAAAAATAACACAAATGAAATAAAAATCTATCAGAGAAGCTCAACAATTCAAATGAATTGGCAGGAAAATCAATACACTTAAGGACAGCTAAACAGAAATTTTCCAATCTGAGGAACAGAGACAAGAGATGGAAGAAATATGAATAGAACCTCAGGGACCAGAGAAACACCAAAATACCAAAATCCAGTCAGCCCTCTGCATCCATCAAGTCACTCAAAGATAAAAAATATTTGAAAAAAAACTGCATCTATACCATACACATGAAAGCTTTTCTTATTACTCCCTAAATACAGTATAATAGCTACAGTAAACCCTTCACTTACAAACCCAGTTTGTTCCAGAGAGCTAGTTTTAACTCAAGTTGGTCAACTGAAGGCTCAGGCTTCTCTACACAGCCTTCAAAGTCTCTCCTGTTTCCAGTCCAATTTCAGTGTCTTTAGAGAGACAGTGGGCCAGGACTTATCAACCCCACACAGAAAAGGATGGTGTCATGTTCTTTCCAGAACTCTTTTAAGGGTTAAATCTGTATCTGAGACCATCTGGAAGCACAAGTGGCCAGCACTGTTCATAAGCTAAAACTAAAATTCCAGTCTAACCCAAGTTATTCGTATGTCAGGCTAGTCGTAACTCCAGGGTCCACTGCATTTACACAGAACTCATCCTGCATCAAGTATTACAATGAAGTACATGCGAAGATGTGTGTAGGTACATCATTTTCCATAAAGAACTTGAACATCTGCAGATCTAGGTACCTGAGGAGGTCCTGAAAGCAATCCTCCTTGGATGGCAAGGGACGACTGTATATATGATGGCAGAAAATCAAGACAGAAAAAAAAAAAAATACTTGAAGAAATGATAGCCAAATTTTCCCCAAATTTGATGAAAACAGAAGTAATAATCTAGGTATTTAAAAAAAATTCAGGTCAGGGTTCTGTCACCTACCTAGTAAGTGCAAGATCTCGAGTTAGAACCCCGCCACAAAAAAACAAACAACAACAACAAAAATATTCAACAAAACTCCCAAGATAAACACAAAGAGATACACACCCTAACACACCATATTCAAATTCTTGAAAGATAAGGAGGAAACAAACATAAAAGCACCATGCAAAATACCATTCATCTCACATAGGGGGAAGAAAGAAGAAAGAAAAACCACCACAATAAACTGCTAACTTCTCATCAGAAATAACAGGCCAGAGGACAATAGAATGGTCAGAGTACAAAAAAACAACAGCAAAATTTTTCAAAACTGAAGGAAAAATAAGGACATTTCATGAATTCTTAAAGAGACTTTAGGAAGATCTGCCTAACAGCAAAGGCTACATGAAATCCTTCAGATTGAAGGCAAATAGCACAGCATGACAACTCAAATCCATAGGAAGAAGAGGAAAGTGCTAGAAATGATCGATATGTAGGCTTTTGTAAGACTCTATTAATATTTTTCTCATTTTTTGTTTTAAATTATTAAAAATAAGGTTATATAAAGCAGTAATTTAACATTCCATACATACCTTTATAAAGTGTAGGAATCAAATACAAATCTTAGTGGGATAAGAGAAAAAGGGAGACGAGCAAAGTTTCTATATTTTACACAAGTTCAGTCAATATTCTCAAGTAAACAGTTATACATGAAGATGTACACTATACTCTCTCCAGAGCAATCACTACTGAAAAGTTTAAAACAAAGACCAGAAAAATCCTAAGTATACTTTTTAAAAAATGAACGTAAAAGCAGGCAATGGAGGAGACAGAGAGGAACAAAAAGTATGAAGCAAACAGAAAAATAGCAAAATGGCAGAACTAAATGCAACACCAATTATATTAACCACCCCCCAAAGAGAGACTGTCAGACTGTATGAAAAAGCAATGGCAATAATATGCTGTTCAGTGAAAACATAATATAGATGCATATAAATAAAAAGTTCAAAGTGAAAGGACAGGAAAACAAAAACTAATCAGTATTAGCAGGTAAAAATAGATGATAACCACCACCAAACCTGTGAGTTCCAAACACTGCACCTGACTGCAGATTTGAAACAGACTGGCTTATAGCAGCACTGTTCACATCAGCTCAACCCAAAGTGACATATAAATGCAGTGCAATATTCATATAAAAGAATATGACTTAGCAATAAAAAAGGTAATGAAAATCCTGATGCCACAATGCAGATGAACTTCAAACATTATAGTAAATGAAAGTTAAATGTAAAAACTATACAGTGTATAATTCTATATTCAGGGTCCACAGAAGGCAATGGTTAAGAGCCGGCCGAGCAGCAGTTGCTGAGGACAGGAGTGCGGACCACCTGCAAACAGGCTCAATGCAATTTGGAGGATGGTACACATGTGCTAAAATTGGACTGTTGTAAAGGCTGCCCACAAGCTATTGCTGCCTGTACAACTACTAAATATCACTGAATTATACTTACATTGGGTCAGTTTTATTGCATATACACTATGCCATAACACAGCCATACACTATACAATAACATGACAAAGGCAGTAAACGACTCTTAAGACTAAAAAGGCTCTTTTTCTGTGAAAAATCTTATCACAAAATACAAGCTTAATGCAAACTCTAGCTCTTCCAAGATGCACCATGAATGCTGAACAGTTAACTCATCAGTCATTTGGCATTTATTCCATTCATGCAGAGCAGATCAATTTATACTATCAAGCTCTAGCAGGCCAAATAAGGCACTCAATCACCTGGCCATGCAACCACGTATCTCCTTCTATATGGTAGTTGAATATTTACTTTTATCTCCACTTGTCAAATATTTGCACAGCTGTCTTAACTTTCATGTGTGAGCCATTATAGTGTTATGTCCTGAACTATAAATTTTGTAGAAGATGGGGGGCAGAGCTATTGAATTCTGTAACATGTCCAACACGTGAAGTATGGCCACAAAACTCCAGAGGCTTCTGTGCAAGGAAAGCCATCATGGCCCTTTGTTTCCAACACACTCCATCATCATCAAAGGCCCTTCCTGTCACTGAGAAAGCAAACACATGGACAGTTACTGATTCTCATGTTGTTTTTGAGCCATATGCTCACACTGGCATGTACCAAAATAAAGAGGCTAACGATTCACTCTGTCTGTGGAGACACACTGAATTGCTTTCAAAAATATTTCAAGTACTCAGTCATTACAAACTCAACTGAGTCTATTCTTATACATGAAGTATTAAAACAAGCTGCACACACACACAAAAAAATCATTTTCTCTACCTACTCCCCTCCTACTACCCCAAAACTACAGAAATAAAGAATCACTAGGATAACAGAGCAAGTACAGTAGAGAACAGTGATGTGTTGATAGCAAGTATCACCCTTGTCCCATCCCCAAACCCCAGCCCTCCACTCAAAAGGGGTAGAATTTCCTTTAAGCACTCCTTCCAGCACAGCTGTCTTTTGCTAAAGAACAATCTGTTACAAGGTATTCAACTAGTCTCATGGATGCAGGGCTGGAAACAGGGCTGCTGTCAGTATTTCTCTACCATCTTGAGTTCAACCCTTAGAACACCCTGCAGGCA